TCAGAGGAAGCATGATGTGGTTGGTGCCTCGGGAAACTGGGGAAAGCTATAAAATGATGTGGTAATGAAGGATGCGTAAGATAGGACAGGTCCTTTTAGATGAAAGAAACAACAGCATGGAAAAGAAAGGCAGAAAAACCAGGGAATACCAAGGTGCATATAAATAGAGCATAATGTCAGGGGAAAGACATTGGAAATAAAGCTGTGAATGGATCACAGAGAAGCTCACACATGTTGGACACTGTACTACCTCTTGAAGAGGTAGAGAGGGGTGTGTTTCTATTCGTGTGTGTGTGTGTGTGTGTGTGTGTGTGTGTTAATCCTTATCTGAGAACTAGTTTAGAGGACGAGAGAGAGAACATCAATCGGCTGCCTTCTGTAGCCTTTCGTACATGCCTGACTGGGAGTTGAATCTGTAATCTGTATATGTCCTAATCGGGAATCGAACCAGCAACCTTTGGGTGCACAGGATGATGCTCAACCAACTGAGCCACTCCAGCCAGGCTGTATTCCTATTCTTCTTATGAGGGATTGAGGTTCAGGATAACTACCTTGCCTGAGGCCTTACTACTAATTGTTGAGTCTACATTTGGAACCTAGCAATTCTCCTATTATGCCAAATATTCTCCCACTTTATAACTTTGCCATGTTTAAAATGTTAGCATTTCCCTTTTATTCTCAGGCATTGTTTTGTGAAGGGTTCTGAGCAGGAATGAACATTACCAGGAGTGCTCTCAGGGAAATAAGATGGCATCATTGTGGGGCCTGGCTGGCCACCATCTGGTCTCCATTAGTCTCTTGGAATATCTCACACCCAAACACTGGAGTCGCTAAATGACTGTATTGTCAGAACTATGTTTGCCATATTTTCTGGAGAAATAAAAATGAAATTCTATACCCAGTGTTTTTCTCCCCTAATTGTCTTCTCTTTTTCATTTAGTAGTGTTTTGGTCCACTTGGGATTCATCCTCTTTAGTGTATACCTTCTAGCTTTCTTAACTAATACTTATTCCAATAGGACTAACTCTGGACTACCTACTAGCTGACCAAGAGGTTCCTCAATCCATAACACCCCTGAGGCATAGATATCCTAATTGACATAACAAACTCTGATGGAAAAAGATATACAATCTACCAATACTGAACTTTCTGTCTTTTCACACTAATCATCTCTTGAGTGGTATGTAAACAGGGGAAATGTAGAATGCCTATTCTTTATACTTTAAAAACATGTCTGGAACTATTTGAACTAACTAAAAGTAAAATAAGTGTCAGGGTAGATTATGACATACCTTTTCCCTTTTACTTAAAAAAAAAAAAAGGAAATGGAAAACATACCACTTCTCGAAGACCCTGACATTGAAATGGTATCCGTAATGTATTTATATATGCCACACTTTCTTCTATGCATCGGCCATCTTTAGTACATATGTGTTGGATAGATGCCATATGGGTTGAAATAACCACATATGGAAAATCTTGTTTAGAAGTGGTGTGAATCATTAAGGTAAAAGTGAAGTCAGTTCTTTTGATTATACATACTTGCCGATCTGATAGAAATGGTTTTTCTTTTATCATTTGATAAAGAGATTATTAGCTTGAGGAAAAAAAGTTTAAAATATCAAGAGAAGGATATACTTAGTAGAAAACAATCCTTCAATAAATGTCAGCATTCTCCTACAGCAACCAAAAATAGAAATTACGTACAAGAACAATGTACTTTCAAGCACTTAAAAACTACATAAGAAACATTACAACAATATTGGTTTTAGTATATCTTCTAATTTGAAATGGAGTGAAATGCTTCTGTGGTTAAATCAGCTTTTTTTTACTGTTTGCTATAAAAATTACAAGCATATATATTTCAGAATGTTTTTTTAATTCAAAACAAATGCAACAGAACTCAGCATACTTGAAACACATTTTCTGAATTTATTTGAAATCTTTTGACTCCAGAGAGTTCTGTGTGTGTGTAAGGGTTAGGCCTGACTGGTTATTTCACCATCTATCTCCATCCTGGCTTGATTGCACCGAACAGCCCAGAATGAGTTCCATATGCTCCCACTTTGTCTAAGTTTGTAGGACCTCTGGGTTGGAACTCCATTTGATCAGAGTAAAGCTAACCATCTCAGAAATTTGGCTCATGTCAAATGCTTAGAGCTCCACATGGATTCCAGTTCGAATGTATACGTTCCCGTTAGAAGTTGTGGCGATTTGCTATGCATTGGCTTACTTGTTATTGTTCCTAAAATATGGATGGCATTTCAAGAATTTAAAATCATTTGCCTACCTTTGATGACGATGATGATCTCCTGGAGAGAGTTATGTTGCAAATACGGACCAAGACACATCATCAAAACGTTTTCAAATAAAAATTATGATATATCAATTTTTTCCTAACACTGGACAGATGAATTCAGAAGGACAAAGATAATCTAAAGTTTGAAAGGGAAACCCATTGTCATCTTTGTAGTTTATTTCTCTTTTTTTCTTATTAAAAAAATAAAAAATATGGGTTTAAGGTATATTTTCAAGCGTAGGCATTGCTCAAGAATCAGGTCAAGTTAAGTAAGGTGGGGTCTGTGTCCTCTAAGGCCTGGCTTTTAGCTCCGGAGGTAAACGAAGCTGTCCAGGGCACGTTTCTCCCTCTTCGGGCTCTTTCCTCCCTGTTTGGGTCTTCCCTCTCTTTCTTCTCCTTTCCTTTCACTACTGGACTTTTTCATTATTCCCGCTCCCCCACCCCCCTCCTCCTGCTCCTCCTTTCTCCGGCTGTGCTTCCCTTGTGTGTCTGGCCTGGCTTCTCTAACAGTTCAGCGTGAGTGTTAGCAGAATGAAAACCAGATGGACCCGCAGTTCCCACTGTTATCTCCCAGCTGACTCTGGCCGGCCCCCCTTATCCCTCCTTCCTGGGCATAACAGGAATAGTTGCCTTTATTTAGGGCGACTCGTATGTGCTGCCGCACCTTTTCCCTCAGCTGCAACATCAGCAGGCAGCTGTGTAGTCCCTGTTGCTGAGGTTGGTTGAGGTGAGTAGACTGTGTAATGAATTTAACTAGTAAAGAAGTGGTTCGAAACCTGCCTAGCTTCTGTATTGTTCTAGAATAATTGATTTACTGAGCCTTTTCTTGCTTGTTTGTGAATCCTCGTCCCAGGATGTTTTTTTCCATTGATTTTTAGAGAGTGAAAGGGAGGTAGAGGAAGAGCGAAGGGGGGAGAGAGAGAGAGAGAGAGAGAGAGAAGGAAGAGAGAAACATCCATGTGAGAGGGATACATCAATTGGTTGCCTCCCGCATGTGCCCTGACTGGGGCCAGGTATGAAACCTGTAACGTAGGTACATGCCCTTAACCTAACTGGGAATGGGACCCGCGTTCGTCCGGGGGTGCGCAGGCCATCACTCTAACCACTGAGCACCACCGGCTAGGGTTACTGATGCTGGTTTTTCAATAATGTGGAAAAGCAATATGAAGGCTATTTTTAGCAGTAAGACAAAGGTGGGAGTGCTCTCCAGCGGTGTCTTTGCCATCACCTCACTCAGAGCACTCATTCACTACAGCGACATTCTTCGTTACTCAACCAGAGGCCCTGATACTACTAACCAGATAGATCCTCTGTCAGAGGGCTCTTCTGAGAACGATGAGGAGGAGGAGGGGGAGGAGGAGGAGGAGGAGGATGATATTGGTCTTTCTTTTATTACACCTCCCCCAGCATGGCATTAACATAATTTCAACATTTAAATATTGTGTCCTATGGCAACTCAAGTCTTAGGAATCTGCTGTGAATAAAGGGGAGGTAGTTTTAGAATGGTCAGAGTAGTAATTTGGGCCTTCCATTTTCTTTTAATAATTGACCTTTCAGTTATTTTGAGTCATTAACTCTGTACCCATATGGTTATAATATTTTTAAAGGCCCATTCTTTACCAATAGTCTGTGTTATTTTACTTTTCAAAAACTCATAGAGTGCGAAATATCTGTATCTAAGGCTGAAAAAGGTGCCTTAAACATTAAACATGTTTGTATGTATGTGTGTGTACGTGTGTGTGTGTGTGTGAGAACATCTCTACACATGTTTGAGAAAAATTGGATCTAAAGAAACAAACAGAAACTTCTATATTTTTTTTTTTACTGGAGATTTGATAAAGAGATTAGACTGAGGAAGAAAAGTTTAACATTCCAAGAAAAGAGTGTACTCAGTAGAAAACAGGCCTGAGCAAATGTTCATTATTGGGTAATCAGAAAACTTCTCCATATCTGTCACCTGCTCATGAAAAACATATGGAAGGTCTTTAGTTCTTTTTAATTCTCAATGTGGGACTTTTTTATTCTGACTCTACCTGCGATTGTTAATTGAAATATTGGCCTCATGTTTTTGAAGCGGTGGGTCATAAACTCACAAAGTCTACGTAAATAACAGCTTAACTTCGTTGTGTGACATATGCCATTGAGGGAGCGGTGATTTTTCAAACAGGGCAGAAAACATTGATGTGAGATCTGTGTCATGGAGACGTACTCTGCGTCATCCAACAGGCCAGGAAACTCAGTGTGGAAAGGGGGTGAGCGGTGTTATGAACATCGCTGGCTCCTCCCAGTATTTCATCTACAGAACAGAACTTTATATGGGTGTTATTTCGAAGCGGGCGGAGGGGTTCATTGCTGTCTTCCTCTTCTATTTTTTTACCTCTTGCGAATATTGGCTCCTGCCTTGAGTGAAGTTGCGCTGTTGTTTATAACACTAACAAGGGAGCCTGTGCCCACCCTAGAAATAACGATAGGACGTAAAGTCACCCAGGTACAAACGAGGCCCTGTCATCTGAGCTGCACCCACCCACGTCAGTGGGGTCTGGATGATAAAGTCCTGATTTCAACGTCAGTAGATGAGCCTTGTTTGATGGATAGAAGGTGATGGGTTTCTTGTGTTTACTTGCTTGTAAAAACGGTGAGTCCCCCACTTAGAACACTGAGGTGCTTGAGAAAGTAACATGTTCCCGGTGGCACCCTCCAGATCGGACTGAGAAACACTCCACGATGCCAGACTCACCTGTGGATGTGAAGACTCCGTCCAGGCTGACTCCTCCCACGATGCCACCGCCCCCGACAACTCAAGGAGCCCCGAGAACCAGTTCATTTACACCAACAACGTGTGAGTAGGCGTTTTCATTTTGAAGTTTGAAAGTTTTTCTGCAAGTAAAACTTAAAAGAAGATCCAGCATCAATGAATTATGCAGAAATGAAGCAAGAAAAAATCATTTATTTTCCAGTGAGGTATTGAGTACAGATGTGTTGTATCATAAGTATAATTTGTAGGGATGGCAGTATTTGCCTGTCTTTTGTGCTTGCTTCAGAAATGTATTTTGCTAACATCTCCGTGAGTGAAGAACACTACGTTTGGTCTGTAACTCGAGATGTTACCACTGTAACTTTTAATTTGACTTAATGTGGAGCTTCTTATTGTAGTCTGTTCATTTTGACTTGGAACATGTAATAATTCAGGTTACATCTGGTCTTCTAATACTGTTTTCTTCTATTATTTACAAATCACTTTAAAATCTAACATTTTTAGGATTTATGTTTAAAATGTAATGTTTAGACACACACACAAAATGACTTTATGCAACAGTTGTATACAGAAATCTTTCTGAAATAAGGAGCATCTTTCTTGTCCTGAAACTGTCAGGCTTTTTTTTTTAAACATAGTTTTATTAATTTCAGAGAGGAAGGGAGAGGGAGAGAGCAAGAAACATCAATGATGAGAGAATCATTGATCAGCTGTCTCCTGCACGCCCCACATTGGGGATTGAGCCCGCAACCCAGGCATGTGCCCTTCACTGGAATCGAACCCGGGACCCTTCAGTCCACAGGCTGACGCTCTACCCACTGCGCCAAACCAGCCAGTGCGTGAAACTGTCAGACTACATTCCATTTTGGCTCAGGTCCCCTGTTCTGAATCAGTGGAGAGTATTGCTTTTTGTGTCATGCAGGAAAGGACGGAATATTCTGACAGAATCTCAACTTTCCTTTCTTTCCTGTATATTATAGTAGGGATAGCAGGTAGCTTTGTTTTCATCTGTCTCAAAGTGTTGGTTAAAATTGTTGTCAAGGATTTGTGAGAAAAAAAACACACACACAAAACTATATTGCAGATAATAGTATGGATAGACGATGTGCCATTAAATCTACACGCATAAAAAATACCAGGCAAGAATAGATTCATGGGATTGGAAAGGATGGACAAAACACACAGCCCAGACTGTGTATGCAGAGTGGCATTGCCATTTGAAAGGCCTTTCCAAACGTGTAAGGAGTAGGAGGCCGCAGCAGTGCCAAGTTGTAGCCCTGTCATCTTGTATTTGTTTTGTTGTTATCCAAAACCATAGTGATAGGCATATGTCTCCCGTGAGAAGTCCTAGAGAGCTGTCATTTCTTGACAGGTTGCTTTGGTACTCATGTAGGACAAGAGACCTTTTTTTTTTTATTTAAAAAAAAGAATAATAGTGTACTTAAAATATCTTCAAACTATTGTTGGGAATAGTTTATCAAAATTATATTTAAAAATGTGTTTGGGAAAAATCAATTTGTCAAATTAATTGACTTAACGTAAAATCAACATTTTCCTTAGGGAGAAATGTGCAAATCTTTCTAGCCTCCAAGTTATCGATTATCATCTTGATGTTCAAGTAAATATGATCAGAAATGAATTTACCGGATTACCGCCAACTATTATTAATGGGATAGATATGTACCTTTTGGATTTCTTGAAATAAGTCCCTGATAGTTATCATATCTATTTTGGCTTTTCCCTAAAGAAGGGGTTAAGAAATATGAGGGGAAGAAAATAGCCTTCTAATTGGGTGGTTGTAAGGTTAAAGCTTGAAAGTCCAATTTTTATAAACATAGCTGTCAGCTTGTGTGTATAAAACATGATTAAAAATGTCCAGTGATAAATTTAGTCTCCACGAAATGTACACTTTCTCTAGGAGGGGAGCAGCTGAGAAAGAAATAGTTCTGTTACATTGATGTAAGCTGGTGACCAAAGGCTGACATCCAAGTGTTGTTTGTTCTGTGTTGGAAACATTTCAGGTGGTTGGCATATGTGCACATGGGCGGCAGGGCTGTCTCTGTGCTACAGCCGGCTCCATTTATAATCAGCTTCTGTGCAGAAAACCCTCGTGCAGTGTGAGGAGTAGACCCACTTAATTATAGAATACCTGAGCCGGTGTGAGCCTGTGAAGTCAAAGCATTTTACAAAAAAAGCTCCAACAGTCTTTTTGTTTGTTTGTTTTGTTTTAACACTTTTATTGATTTCAGAGAGGAAGGGAGAGGGAGAGAGAGAAACATCAGTGATGAGAGAGAATCATTGATCAGCTGCCTCTTGCACGCCCCCTACTGGGGCTGGAGCCCACAACCTGGGCATGTGCCCTGATGCAGAATCAAACCGTGACCTCCTGGTTCATAGTTCAATGCTCAACCACTGAGCCATGCCCAACCACTGAGCCACGCCGGTGGGGCTGTATTTATTTTTAACTTTAAATAATTTCTTTTAAAATTTTTTCAATTACAACGTAGGGGATGTAGTCAGTAATATTGCAATAACTATGTATGGTGTCAGATGGGCACTAGATTTATTGGGGGTGATCATTTTGTAAGTTATATAATGTCTGATCACTGGGTTCTACACCTGAAATGAATATAATATTGTACCTAGCAGTTTTTTTAAAAAAGAATTCACTAGACTTAAAGGGAAGGGAACTTGGTTATAATTTTCTTGTGCATTTCTCTATACGTTTACCTTTTCTCTCTGATTTTGTGCTCTTGACAGTAACTAATGGCACAAGCCATTCACCCACAGCCTTGAATGGTGCCCCCTCGCCGCCCAATGGCTTTAGCAATGGGCCTTCCTCTTCTTCCTCTTCTTCTCTGGCTAATCAACAGCTGCCCCCAGCCTGTGGCGCCAGGCAACTCAGTAAACTGAAACGGTTCCTTACTACCCTGCAGCAGTTTGGCAATGACATTTCACCAGAGATAGGAGAGAGAGTCCGCACCCTCGTCCTAGGACTGGTGGTAAGCAAACAGAAACCGGCCCAATTTTCTGGGGTAAGGGAGAGTGCATGGGGGGATGAAAAATACAGTCTCCTTTCTCACGGGTATTTTATTCTAGTCGTTTTTACTGCTAGAGATTGGGTCCAACTCTGATCATTCTATAACAAGGTTTTAAATTCTGCATTGCGTGTTGACCCCCCACCCCCACCATGGTTTCTCTTACTATTTGACTAATGAAGATATGGCTATATGCATATTTATTGCTATCTTGGCCATAAATGTGTAGTGTGTCTAAAATTCCATAAGTATATCCTCCCGGCATGGCTAGTGCCTTTCAACAGTGACAAAATGTTTTGGGTACGTGAATGATTCACTTCATGTAATTCAGTGCTCTTTTAAACTTCGTTGCTTTAGGGGACTTTTATTAGCCTAGATCCATGGTCGGCAAACCGCGGCTCGAGAGCCTCATGCGGCTCTTTGGCCCCGTGAGTGTGGCTCTTCCACAAAAGACCATGTGCGGGCATGCGCGTACAGAGCAATTGAAACTTCGTGGCCCATGCGCAGAAGTAGGTATTTTGTGGAAGAGCCACACTCACAGGGCCAAAGAGCCGCATGTGGCTCGCAAGCTGAGGTTTGCTGAGCTGCAGTTTGCTGACCACTGGCCTAGATGATGAACTAGAATTTATAACAAATAACATTCTCTTTGTATGTGTTTTCATTTTTAGGGCTAATCACATTAAGAATTGTTTATTGTGGTAAGATATATAAAACCTAAAATTTACCATTTTAAGGATTTCTCAGTATACATACGGTTCGGTGGCATTAAGCACATTCACTGTTGTGTAACCATCAGCACCATTCATCTCCAGAACTTTTTCATCACCCCAGACGGAACCTATGTCCCCATAAAACAAGAACACCCCAAATTTATCTCTCCTCACCTCCTACATCCATTAACTGGTTTTTGAATAAAAACAATTTTTTTTGATATAATTACTAAAATGATTCGCTTGAGAATAGAAGTGTTGACTAAGGCACATTATAGTATATTCTATACATTATCACGCTAGACATGAGAACAGGCATCCTTTTTTAGAGCCCTAGATCACTTTTGCATTTCCATGATTTCATATACACATGAGGGCTTCCATTTAGAAAGGTGATTTTCCCATAGCAGACGGAATCACGGACAAGTTACGAGCCACAACGTCAGTTCTTTCAGTATCCGGGCTAATCGTGGAACTGAGATTCACAAGATCGGCAGCAGTTTCCTTTTTCTTGAAATAGATCACTTATTTTTATTGCGCGGATTTACCGAGGGCAAAGACATACCAGTTGTGTTTTGTCAAAGAAGTTCCCAAATGAGAAGTCTGGCTGAGAGTCTAAGGCAGTAGACATGCTTCAAATCACGGCCTCTCACATGGCCAGAGATGTTGCAATTCAACTTTTTTTTTTTTAAAGTATGTGGAACTTTTCAGTGTCGTCTCCCGCTCCTCTGCACTCTAAGAACAACAGCTTGCACATTCCCCACAGTCCATCAGCTTCACCTTGTCCTCCTCAGGCAGGAAGGTGAATTTGACAGAAGAATGTCAGCCTCCTGCAGTTCCTTCTGTCACTCACTTATCTTTTCCTTTTCATTCATTCTCACGTTTTGCATAATAGGCTTTTCAACACCTAAATCAATTAGACGGAAGAACCACAAAGTAAATTCAAAACAGTGACTGTATTAAGAAAACGGTAAATGTGTTGTTACTAGTAGACATTTCCTCTGGCAACTGCTTTATAAATTGGATATGTCTTTAACAGCGGTTTCCATAACTTTAAATGTATCAAAAATTTGGTAGCCTTCAGTAGATTTTTCCACATCTTAAGTGGCATACTTTGAAGATATGTTTTATTTATCTGAAAACCTTATGGAGATAAGTGAGGGGGAAACATTAATAGTGCTTTGTACATGAGAGGGAGGCAGTGAACATTTGTCAAATGAGTGAATGACTAGATGATGCGTTTTGTTTTGGGCATTGAACACAAGCCATTCTATTTAAATCTTGGGACCATCCTTTGAAGTAGTGATTTTTATACACATTTTATATGTGGGGAAACTGAGGTTTGCAGAAGTAAAATACACATTGTGATAGGCCTATGACTTGCACTCAGGTAGTAAATCATAATGAATCTCATTATGCTGTTATTTAGACAGTTAAGAAAAAATATTCGTAACTGTTTTAATGTGCAAAACATAACCAAAATGGCTTTTGGGAAAATGAGCCATAGAAACAAAATGGGGGGAAGGGGTAGTAAAAGGTAAAGGGGGCCAAATATATAGTCATGGGAGATGATCTGACTTTGGCTATTGGGCACACAATGCAGTGTACAGATCTTGCATCATGAGAATGGATACTTGAACCTATATAATCTCATTAACTCATGTCACCCCCATATATTTAATTCATTAACAATTTTTAAAAAATTACTAACTGAAAATAAAGAGGCAAAATAAAAGATTAAAAAAAAGGGCCCCTTAACCTCTATTATTACAGATAGAAAGCTAGTGTTTATTCATAGTTTCATGTTAATATGTTTTGAATTTGGGGGTATGAAAAGCTTAGAACTTGGTACCCCATATTTTATCATAAAAGGAAAAGGAAGGGGAACACTATTCTGAAGCTGTTAGGTCACAAATGCCCCAGTTTTGTCAGGCACGAGGATAATCGGAGGCTTGAAGTTCAGACTACAGTTTACAGTTGTGATTCTGCCTAGGACTAAGGAAAATGAACCAAATATAGTTAATTTACTCAACACCTTTACAATAGGTTGTTGTCTGTTAAATCACTCATTGCAGGATACAAACCCCGAGTATTGGGGGCTTGTTTACATGGCATAGGTGAGAGTGAATAGAGTCATTTTGTAGTCTCTTTTGGGTTGAGCAATAAACCTTGCCTCTATGCTAAATGAAGTATCTTTGATAACTGGGGAATATTTTCACCCTCTATAAGATTCAGTGAATCGGAGAAGGCCCAAACTTTTTCTTTGGCTTCAATAGTGCAGCACACCACCCAACATAGCTGTTCATTCTGAGCAAGGATGCTTTGGTAGACATAGGAAGAATGGAAGGATGGAAGGACGGGAGAAGAATATTTCCACCAGCAGAAATACAGACATGACCTGTGGGGTGAATTGAGATTCTGACACTTGCCTTTGGCCCACTATGTGATCAGTTCTGCTTTTAAATAAAGAGTTTTCCATAAAGAGTAATATTAAAAGGTTCTTCATGATTTTAGAGACAAAATTCTCTGACAAAAGTATGCACATTATTCTCAAAGCACCATATTTATGGCCTTTCATTTTCAGATGTTATTTTAAAAGGTGGGTGATACAGTGAATTATAATATGCAGTATTTTTTACAAAGCCAGCGGTATTATATTGAAAATACTGCTTCCTGTATGTGTGTCTGCTGGTTGTTACAGTGTTTTAACCGTATTGGTAATTTAGTAATCTCATTGTTTTTACTGCCTGCCAAGAGACAAATGTGTTTATAATACATATTTTCTTCCACAGAACTCTACTTTGACAATTGAAGAATTTCATTCCAAACTGCAAGAAGCTACTAACTTCCCACTGCGACCTTTCGTCATCCCGTTCTTGAAGGTATTGTACAGCTCACTTGTCTGGAAAGTATTTCAGAGCATATTGTTGCTAGGTCACAATAGTGTTTCTTTTTAGGAGTGGAGGGTGGTCAGAAATTTAAGGGTGTTTTCACTCAGTTTACTGGGTGAAAACTATCTGAATATATATGGTTTTCTGGTCATTTCTGAGGCAGTCTTAAAATGATAATTCAGAGTGTTTTGAATAGTTAAGTTGGGAGAAGAATTGAGAAATCTCTTTGAATAAAGGCTTTGTTTATTTGTTTGTTTGTTTTGGTCCTTTGAGTTACATTTTGCTTGTCTTTAGAATGAATGTAAGATTGGTTCTTTCTTTTTAGTTTTTCAGAGTCTTAAAAATCCGTCTAATTTATTTTTGCAACAACCTAATGCAATAGAAAGAGCAGGCCCTCACCCCCTTTGTCAGTGAGGAAACTGGGAGTAAGTGGCAGATGCAGGGTATGTCGGTCTGAGAGTCGTTTGAGGTGTGATTTAGAAACAGTATTTATTCCTCAGTTTCCTGGTCTTCACCTTCTCCAACTACTGCTTCTTCAGTAAAGCAACTGCAAAAAACACACAAAAAGAGTTTCCAAGAGAAAGAAGGGACATGTTTATCCGGGACAGCAGGTTACTTCACTGATTGATACTAAAAGAATTGATAGTTTTGATAGAAAAATAAAATTTTGATAGGAAAGCAAATTATGCCCACTGCTTGGGCATAGTGGGTTGTTAGTGAATGCCATGTAGAGCAGTGGTTCTCAACCTTCTAGCCCTTTAAATACAGTTCCTCATGTTGTGACCCAACCATCAAATTATTTTCGTTGCTACTTCATAATTGTAATGTTGCTACTGTTATGAATCGTAATGTAAATATCTGATATGCAGGATGGTCTTAGGCGACCCCTGTGAAAGGGTCCTTCAACCGCCAAAGGGGTCGCGACCCACAGGTTGAGAACCGCTGATGTAGAGGAACAAACCCATTTTTATCCTAACTGTAGGCTTTGCAGATTGATTAAATGAGAAAGACTCATTCGCCTTCCCCTTTGCTGTGAAGTTCCATCTTTTTTTTTTTTTTAAATCAGACACATAAGGTTCAAGTAACTACCCAAAAACCTAGAAAAGTTGTCAGAACTGAGCCCAAATTAGAACTTTCTGGATGATACGTCTTTCCTGTTGTTATTCTTGTTGAAGTGAAATGAGATAGTTCTGTTCTGAGAATATTTACAAATCATTAAATTATATCTTTTTATATGGAAACCCAGATTTCCATTGTGTTCTTTTTATTATTTTCTATATTGTGTACATAAGGTTACAGGTATGATGTATCGGTATTTCCCTCCAAAATGGCTTCTACTACAATCATGTATTCTCAAAAGCAAATTGTTTTTTTAACATGTCAGTTGAGTCTAGAATCTTCAGTTTTCTAAGAGAGTTGCTTTCTGTAAAGATTTCATCATATGAATTCCATTTCCTGTGCAAATACCACTGGTTTCTTTGCTTGCAAGAAACTAAGGAAAGAAAAGGAGAGAAAAAAAAGGGAGGGGGGGCTCCTTTCAGGGTCAAGTTGGCAGCCAAAAAATTATTTTAAAAGCATACAAGGACACTTCCATGTTCTTCTATCACTGCTGCACACCATATGGTTACCATATCATTTAGTTGGGATCATTGGAATCAAAGATAAAACTTTTTTTTTTCTAATTTTAGTGCTTTTTCTCAAAGGAGACATTAATGACAAAAACCATATGGTTGTGGGAACTCGGGCCTTAATAAGTGCATTCAAACATTGCTCTAACAATATGCATTAAAGTCTTGTTTTCATTAAGCTAATGTAACCCTCAGACCCTCGATTCCATTTTGCATTTATGGAGAAACATTTACTGGAAAGATATTAGACACCATTCTAATTACCTAATCTGGCACCAGAATTAGAGCAAACAGAATTGCTTTGTATTACCATATTTTTTAAATTGAAAGAAGATGTTTATGGAACCACTAAATTAAGCCGAGCGCCACGTGAAAACCTCTTGTCTTGTGCCATCCATACATTTAAATTGGAAACTGGAGGCATGCGTGTTTACTATTAATCACTCCATTGTGTGACAGGGGTTGTATTAAAACATGAAGTTAGGGATCCCACCAAAATATAGATGAAAGAAAGCTCTTTAGTGAAAACAGTCCTAGATGCAGCTTCTTTTCTTAAAAGCCTCTTCCCCTGTAGACACCAGTTAAAAAGTATAGGTATGCTTTAACCACATCCACCCTCCAACAGTCTCCTTTGCAAAAATAGATTTGAGTCTGCAACTAAGAAGTTAGTCTCTCTATAACACATAGCCCAAGAGATGTGCATTTTATAACTTGTCTTCAGGGTTTTACTGTTTTGTGTGTCTTCAGAATCAACTTTTGTACTGACTATCTTAAGGCTGTTTCTGGATCGGAACCCTGGAATGCGTTGCCAAAACACATCTGCACACGAGCTGTCCAGCCTGGGGGTCAGCCCTCCTGATTATCATTCAGGAACTCGTCTCTGAGCTGGCGGAGCTCGGTCTGCCTGCCTGCTTAAATGTTCTCACAGAAGGAATCTGAGAGAGCCTGGCGCTGTGGTCCCAACCAAATCTGCTTCATACAGCATGGCCACAGTCTTGTTTGCAGTGTACATGGGAGGTGGGGTTTATGATATATCCCAGGTGCCTCCTCTTGATAAGAATGCTGAAGATAATATGAAGAAGGTCATGGGACAGTGTTGATCTCTCCCCCGGCGCCCCCCCCTAATTCTGAATCTCATGCTTTGTTAATGGAGTACTGGAGATACTTTGTGTTGTTTTGTTTTGTCTCCTCCTTTATTAAATCTTTTTTTTTTTTTTTAAATCTTTGGAATCCTTTGAAACAACCAGGACTAGAGAGGTTTGCAATATATTGTTTTGGACAACTTCTAAATCTTATCCATAGACTGCAGAATGATTCTTAAAACCTTTTAAGTGTTCAGGGGGGATTGCTATTTTATTATCTATGGATGGCACACAGGGTCTGAGAGCTACCTTCACTAAGGAGGAAACAGAGTTTAAAAATATTTTGAAAATATATTTATTACCCATATGACCCTCTAGACCAGTGGTTCTCAACCTTCCTAATGCCGCGACCCTTTAATACAGTTCCTCATGTTGTGGTGACCCCCAATTTCATTGTTACAAGTTGAACATGATGAAAGCATAGTGATTAATCACAAAAACAATATGTAATTATACATGTGTTTTCCGATGGTCTTAGGCAACCCCTGTGAAAGGGTCGTTCCACCCCCAAAGGGGTCGCGACCCACAGGTTGAGAACCGCTGCTCTAGACTAACTGCAAATGGTTTATTTTTAGCTACAGCATGTGGTATGTGCTTATCTTTAGCAAAAATCCTAGTATTTTCTACCTTGTGCAGAAACATGCATTGGCATTCTTAGGAGATGGACGCTTGGTTCATACCTCAGGTAATGGGTGGAGTTTCAAGTCCAGCCTTGGTGCCTGTCCCTGATAGTGTAGACCCGAGAGCCCATAGAGGAAGGCCGCTGGCACCTCCTGTATTCAGAAAGGCTTTTCAACCCGACAGGCTAACTAATATCCATGGCATCTTGTTCCTACAAATAAGATCCTGGGTTGCAAAGAGATTTAGCTTATGGGTCTCCCCTTGAATTTGGAGAGGTAAGTGTTGTTGTTCTTCACTCTGCCACCTATTCACTCTGTCCCCCCTGCCTCCCCCCAAAAGAGAATAAAAATAAAAGAGAGAGAGAGAGAAGAAAACACAACAGCAACCTGGATTTACAATGTCAGAGTACGTTTACTTTTTAGAGTGAAATTCCATTTCCGTTTGAACGCTTTACTGCGTGGAATCGTCTCCTTCCCTTTCGTTACATTTGAGATCGCCGGAATTATGTGTCCACAAACATGTTCAGAGAGTCTTTTTCCAAGTGCTGGGCTCAGTGAGGAGTGAGAGTTATGGGCACACAAGATTTCTCCTATGAAACTGTATGCAATTTTTAGAATAAGGACGCTATAAAGAAAACAGATTATTTTCGTAGACCACTCATATATGCTACTTTGTGCATGAATTCCACCCGGGATATCTGGCCATACTCTGGGCATTACTTAAATGTATGAATCTGACGATTACTAAAAATAATTTCTACATTCAACTCTATTATTATTATTATTATTATTATTATTATTATTATTTGAAGTTAGTAGTCAACCAGAGATGTTTCATAGGATTAACCTGTTTTACCTGGGCAAGTTACTAGATACAAAAAGAAATGTGTATATATTTCACATACCTTGTGTCTTCCATGAGGAATAAACAAAAATTGCTGATGGATGGAGCCAGAACTTTATATCCTGGGGGGCTTAATATTATATTAGATTCACATCTGAAGGACCTTAAAAGTAAATAAGTGCCAACCCCAGTGCTCCCCGTGGTCCTGGAAGCCGGAGGGGTGAGGTGGCTCACACAGGTCAGGCACCTCATGCTCGGGGCAGTGCAGGTCAGGGAGCAGCTCTGGGACCTGTGCCTGGACACCACACCTATTGCCTTTGTCCCCTCCCGCTCCCGCAGGCGAACCTGCCCCTGCTGCAGCGCGAGCTCCTGCACTGCGCGAGGCTGGCCAAGCAGAACCCTGCCCAGTACCTCGCCCAGCACGAGCAGCTGCTCCTGGACGCCAGCACCACCTCCCCTGTGGACTCCTCCGAGCTGCTCCTCGACGTGAACGAGAACGGGAAGAGGCGGACTCCAGACAGGTGAGGGGGAGCGCGGCGGGCTGGCCCGGCCTTGGCCTGGTACCCATGGGATGAGGACCTGCTGTGTGGGATGTCTAAGCTGACTGCTCACCTACACCTGTTGCAAAATAGCCATAAGCTAAAGGGTCCCTCCCGGGGACCTCGGTCTGGCCTGGGATGTTACAGAGGGATGACTCTGGCCTGTGCCAGGCTTTTGTGACGATTCATCTTTGTTGCTTATAATATTAAAGTCAAAGGTGAAGGCCCTGGCCAGGTAGTTCACTCAGTTGGTGAGAACATTGTCCCAATACACCAAGGTTGTGGTTTGATCCCCAGTCGGGGCACATACAAGAATCAACCAGTGGATGCATACATAAGTGGAACAACAAATCTCTCTCTCTCTCTCTCTCTCCCCCCCCCTCCCTCCCTCCCTCCCTCCCGCTCCGTCCCCTTTCTCCCTCTCCTTTCCTCTCTTCCTAAAATTAAAAAAATAAAAAATTCTTTAAAAATTAAATAAAGTAAAAGGTAAAGATGAATGCTATTCAGATGTGCTAATTGCCACTGATGGTTCTTAGACACACAGTCTTAAAATTGTCATTTAAAAAATATTATTCTTTTTTCTTTTAATCCTCACCCAAGGATATTTTTCCATTGATTTTTAGAGAGAGTGGAAGAGAGAGGGAAAGACAGAGAGAAATATCAATGTAAGAGAAACACATCGATTGGTTGCCTCCTGCACGCGCCCGATTAGGGCCCGGGCCTGGGAGGAGCCTGCAGCCGAGGTATATGCCGTTGACCAGAATTGAACCCGGGACCTTTCAGTTCCCAGTCCGACTCTCTATCCACTGAGCCTAACTGGCTAGGGCACACAGAATGTTATTAAAAGCAAGCCAGTTTACATACAGTTACTATAATTTCTATGCTAAAGTCTCTGGAATTTCTCTCTCGACATAGGACCTCCCTCTTAATAGTGTAAAATTCCTGAAGCAAAGGTTACACATTAGTTTACTTCTGACATGCTGTAGACTCACCTTCATACGTGACCTACCAGTAGTGCTAATTTTTTAATTTTTATTTTTGCAAGTCATCTTTCCTCGGCCATATGGAAGCATTTAGTCCTTTAGCTTTTAAAGGGAACTACTTAACCCAGGTGTCTGCATGGCACCACCTGAAAACCAAGAAGCGGCCCGGGATAGATGCTTCCCTGTGCATCCTGTCTGATCCTGTTTACCCTGCAGCAAGGCAGTCCTGGGTGCAGGTATGAGATGAGAAAAAGCGGGTGCACCCCCATTTCTTTCAGGACAGTGTAGGAAAAGAATCGGGGAGAGACCGGGTGGAAAACTGGGGAGAAAAAAACAGGGTAACAGGGAAAGGTTTAGATACCTGTGATACATGTAAAAGTCATCCTATAGGCAAAATTGGAAACGGACACAACGTATTCCTCAGGCAGTGAGGTCAGCCCTGAAGGACATGCTGACATCGACACGGAAACGTCCCGTTAGTGCGCTGTGGCTGTGTGTGTGCGTGCACGCTTGGGGCCAGGTAGGACTCTGAGAGCCTTCGGCTACATTCTCCCCGTGGTCACTCATCGACAGAATTAGCGGCCGGAGTGGGGATGGACAATCTTGCTCCTCGGATGGAGCTTTCTTGTTCACGTGGTGCCCCGAAAGGTGTGTTGCAATGGAAAGATGGCAAACGGATTTCCTTAGAGTTACGAGGAAGGGGCATGAGAACATGTTGTGTAAATACACTTGCATCTTGTGGGAATTCGATCGGAGCCAAGAAAATATGGGCCTCCCTCGTCTGCCTCTGCCTGTATTCCCTGCATCTTGTTTGCATATGCATGTTCCTCTCTGGTTATTATCTGCGCCTCCAGACCCGCTGTAGGAGATGCGGTAGAGGACGGGGCCGTCTGACAGCAGAGGTTTTTTTTTGTTTCACTGAATGTTTTGTGGGTGCATATGGTCTGACATGGATGAGCAGCCACGCCGAGATTCTGGAGTCTATTAAACTGGCTCATTAAAAAGATCAATCTGTTTCTGTAATAACACTGGGAACCATCCGTCACTGGAAGAGGGAAAAACTGACACCTGAGGAGAAAACACATCCTGGTAATTTGTTCGTGACACGCCATGAACAAAAGAGCACTCTGCATTTTGTTTACAACTCTGGGGGCTTAAATTTTGTGATAATTGCGGATTTAATCTACTAAACAGTTGTCACATGTTTTAGGGATGGCTTTTTGGCAAATTTCACTTTTTTCTCTCCTCAAATATGACTGTCACTGGTTATATCTTTTTTTTTTAAATCATTATTATTATTTACAGGGAAATGAATTCTCTGGGGAAGCCTACAAAATCATTTTTCCCCTGTATGGAGCAGTGAAATTTATTCTACTTTCTTTGCTTTTCTTTTTTTTAAAAGATATTTTTATTGATTTCAGAGAAGAAGGGAGAAGGAGAGAGAGATAGAAACATCAATGATAAGAGAGAATCATGGATTGGCTGCCTCCTGCATGCCCCCTACTGGGAATTGAGCCTGCAACCCAGGCATGTGCCCTGACCAGGAATCGAACCGTGACCTCCTGGTTCATAGGTCCATGCTCAACCACTGAGCCACACCAGCAGGGCAGAAGGCCATCATTTTGAAACCATATTTCATTGAATATATAACATTTGCCAACACAGTACACACCAGCTGAAACTACTAGGTTCATTTTTTTCTGTAAAATGAATGATGTTTTAATATTTTTGTATTTATTAAGAGAAAAGGTAAATAGGTACACTTTACAAGGAATTGCAGGATTAATTGACTATGAATAAGAGACTAGAAGTTATGAATTAAATCTATATTACCCACAGCATTCGGTTTTGTAGGAAAAATAATGTTTAATTTTATATTCATATATTGTTTTGTGTTAGATCTTTTATGCATAGTGAACTTTCAAGAAGTGAGTAATCATCCATGTAGAAATGAATTTTCAAAAATACTCCCAGTTGTGAAGGGGTCTAGTGAAATAGCATTAAGTTGCTGTACGTGATGAGATAGCATGGTTTGTAGAGGACATTTTGGTCTCTCCATACTGGTCTCAACATGGACATGCTAGCCTAGCCATGCTGAATATATATATTTAGGAAAGGAGAGGGAGAGAGACGTAGAAACATCAATGATGAGAGAATCATTGATCAGCTGCCTCCTACACACCCCCTACTGGAGATCAAATCCACAACCCAGATATGTGCCCTGACTGAGAATCGAACCATGACCTCCTAGTTCATAGGTCAGTGCTCCACCAGTGAGCCACATCAGCCGGGCACTGCGAATACTCTTCATGTCTTCATGCCATAATTCTGTTCATGCTTCACAGGCTAACTCAGACAATATCTACTATTTAATACAGGCTTCCCAATCATAAATAGTTACTATTCACTGAGCCCTTAAGATGTGCCCGGCCTTGTGCTAAGTAATTGACATGCTAATAGTCCTATTGCATAGATTCAGGCAGGCGGGGTAATGTGTCTGAGGTCACATAGTTTGTAAGAGGCACGGATGGGATTCTAACCCTGGATTCTCTGTCTGGAACGCCCCTGCTCTTATAACTAGGATTCTACACTATCAGCTTGAAGTTATTGAATGCTAAATATGTGTTAGGCTCTTTATGTAGATTCTTTCAGATAGTCCTCTCAGTAGCTCTGAGGTCATCATTCCCATTTTGTGGATGAAAGCACTGAGGCTCATAGAGGTTAAGTTCCTCTGTCCAACAAATAGCAGAGCCAAAATTTGAACCAACTCCGTAGACCCTGCTCATTCAAGTGCACATTCTGGAGTGCTTTTTTCTCACTCTCATCTTCCATATTACTTTGGTACTATTTTTATGGTACCTGCCAAGTGCAGGTCCTGTGTGAAAATATAGAAGTCATGTCTCCAATTAAATTGTCTTTACAGTAAAAGATTTATTGCCAGTATACTTCCACAAAGAATGTATGTCTGGTATCAAGTGATAATTTTATGGAGGGTGTTGAGGGATTATCTCTTGGTTATCTTCGTATGCCCACTAAAGCTCAGGATAGTGTATTACACATAGTGGGTTTCTATGTATAGCCACTCACAAAACAACAACAAAAACCCTACTCCTTGAGTAAATAAATCATTAAACTTACTGTAGACATTTTCAGTATAATACAAAATAGTCTCTCCCTTAAGAGTCTTTCTTGCTTTCTTTCTTGTTTTCTACCGTTTTAAAAGCTGCATCTCTGAGACACACAACAATGAAAATAGCCATCAACACAGGAACAAAATGCTATGATTGGTTCACTGACCAAAAAAAACTGGAGGGCTTCACTCACAATGTAACGTTGACAGAACAGAGTTAAGAAAGCACAGCCCCGGCCAGGAGGAGCAGTATAAATTGAAGATGTCAGCAGTGGCCAGAAATTATGAAAGGCAGGGGACAGCCAGTAGCAGGAACCTAACCGTTGAGCAGATGGCGAGCTCTGGGAGACACATCCCACCTTCTTGTTGGGGGAGAAAAGAAGGCTCAGAGGGCTCTGAACCTGCTGTATTGTCATCCTGGAAGGTCCAGGCAGCATGTTTGTGTGTCTGAAGTGGTCCTCATCCACCTGCGCTTCGTTCCCTCCTGAAGGTGTTGGCCTGCTGCTGGGGAGGTTCTCCGTGGTTGTCTGGCCATGGAGAGACTGAAGGCTTCTCCAGCCATATGGCCCAGCAGTAACGGTCCTGTGTCATTCCGCTTTCTGTTACCTCTCGTCTGAATATCCTACCTCCCCTAAGATGAGAGCAAAGCACAGAAACCACCATGGGTTGTCAGGAAGAATTAGGTTTGATTTTTTTTTTTAAAGTGGTGGGGAATTTGTAATATATTTTGTTTTAGATACATTTTTAGTATGATGGCTCTAGCTGGTTTGGCTAGTGGATAGAGCATCGGCCTGCAGACCGTAGGGTCCTGGGTTCGATTCCGGTCAAGGGCACATGCCCAGGTTGTGGGCTGGATCCCCAGTAGGGGGCATGCAGGAGGAGCTGCTCCATGATTCTCTCTCCCTTCCTTTCTGAAATCAGTAAAAATATATTAGAAAAAAGAGAAAGGTATTATGTAAAATTCTTATCTAAATTCACTTAGTTTTGCTTACTACACTTTGAAAGGGTAACAAATAAGCAAATTTGGAATTTGCTCAGGCAAATGAGGTGTAGATAGTTGTAGGCATTCTAAGAAGGAGACAGACGAATAACAATTACGTTGTTTTAGTTACATTTCTGGACATGCATCCATCCTTTAACTAGGCTTGACCTTTTACTGGACGTAAGTGATTCAAGGAAGCACCAGGGAGACCTTGCACAGACTTGTTTTTGTGGGCCGTGAAGGTTTTCATGTTTTGCTGTTAAAATCTAACGACTTCTGTGAGGTGATGAGCTCTGTTGTTTCCATAGCTACCTGAGCAATAGGGCCCAGGGTTGGACAGCGGAGTCCTGCTAGAAAAGATAGGACAGACTCGGGACTGAGCCCTGCTTAGGATGGCAGTGTCCTTGCTGAGGGGGAAAATATCTCTTTTGATAATAATGGTTCATTGACAGAATAGCACTGACCAGATGGCTGATCTAAGGGTAAAGATAAACAACATTCTAAAAATTCTTTGAATATTGTATGTTGTTATATTTGAACAAGGTTGGCAGAACCTGTAAGTTGAAGTGGTGACACAACTGGGCCAAAAATGTTTGTATATTTAGAAATGCAACAGTGGCTGCTATAAGTTATTTAGAGGATATTTTCTATTTTTGCACAAGGAATTAGCTATAAATAATAAGTCGTTCAAAGCAAAGAACAGAGAACTACTCTGTTGGCTAAAGTGGTTGACACAGGCACCGTTTGGCCAGAGGACCATCAGCCCTATGTCTTTGGATCTGCAGAACCATGCCACTTATTTTATTTTTTATTTTTATTTTTATTGATTTCAGAGAGGAGGGGAGAGGGAGAGAGAAATGGAAACACCAATGATGAGACTCATTGGTCGGCTGCCTCCTGCACACCCCCTACTGGGGATCGAGCCTGCAACCTGGGCATGTGCCCTTGACCAGAATCGAATCCCGGACCCTTCAGTCCGCAGGCTGACGCTCTATCCACTGAGCCAAACCATCTAGGGCCAGAACCAGGACATTTAGATATAAATATAGGAAAATGGAATGAAAGAGGTTTCTAACTAGAAGGGACCTCAGAAATCATCTAGTCCAGTGGTTTTCAAACTTGATTTTAGCGGCAGACTTTTTCCTTTAAAATATTTGGGACAATAAAGATAAAAAAATAAAATAAAATGAAACCTTAAGTCAGTGGTTCTCAATCTTCTGGCCCTTTAAGTACAGTTCCTCATGTTGTGACCCAACCATAAAATTATTTTCGTTGCTACTTCATAACTGTAATGTTGCTACTGTTATGAATCGTAATGTAAATATCTGATATGCAGGATGGTCTTAGGCAACCCTTGTGTAAGGGTCGTTCGACCGCCAAAGGGGTCGCAACCCACAGGTTGAGAACCGCTGCCTTAAGTGGAACCTAAATTTACAAAAAGAGATAATAAGTGGGTTCCTCTGGCCCTTTAAATTTTGATTGTTTACAGGAAAAGTTCTTCATTGCCTGCAGAATCCCTTAGTGCCTCAGGTGGCACAGTTTGAAAACCACTGACTTAGTCCAACCCTTTCATTTTACAGATGAGCAAACTGAGGTCCAGAGAGGTTAAGTGGCTTGCCCAAGGTCACACAGCTAGTCGTGGAAGAGCCAGGACTAGATCTCATAGCTCATGATTCCCAGTCCAGAGCTCTTACCACAACACCACACTGCCCGTAAGGTAGGTGATGTGTCAGCATTATGTTCATAGCTACTAATAGTCTGCAGTATTTTTTCAACTGATTGATGCTGGTCATATGCATTGAATGTTGAAGTGTATTTTTCAGAAATATATAGGACATGGAAATACAGATTAGAATCACATAGATACACTCTTAGAAGATAAATCAGTATCTAAAATGTTTCCTTTCACTTTTAAAAATTGTGTTAAAGAAACGCGTTTAGGTAATGTCTGAGCTATAGTGGACATTTTTTGGTCTGATATTAATGATGCTTTAGGACAGACACATACTTTGATGGGAGCATCATCTAGCCACACCTTCCTCTCTCCCCTCCGCATGGACCATGTCCTGCTGTCATGTCCAGTATTGGCCAGTCTGCTGTCTCCAGGACAGTGCGTCTTTCTCCAGGATATAGTGGGCATGTATTCATTGAACACTGAACTCTGCAGTGTTCCTCAGCTTTTTTGTGTGCTATACCTTCTGTCTCCAAGTCCTTTATCCTTCTCAGTCTCGTGTGTGTCAGTTGTCACTGGGGGTCTACCCTACTCGATGTAACGGATGGCTCATTGTAGAATCTTGTGGCCCTAATGACCTCCCTTGTTAAGTCAGTTGCTACTCTGGTTCCTCTAGTACTACCAGACCAAGACTATCCTGGAAGCCAGGAAAGGGGGGAAAATGTCTTCAGGCCTCTATGCTATTCTTCCCAACATAGAATCAAAAAGGCGTGCAGAAGTCTGTAGCTGCTGTGACTTGGTAGAATTCTCGTGGGGAAATTTTACAGGGAAAATAGACCTTACGACGGGTCTAAATGATAGAGTGCTGGTCTTGTGGTGAGGGCCAGCTCCTTCATCAGAAATTAGCTTGGGAGCTGTTGTTCCAGTCACAGTGGCATGTGGCTGGTTCCTGTCTGACTGCGTATATGAAGTTTGTCCTTACAAATAGAGACCTAGTCAGCCAGAAAATGGTGCTCTAGCCCCACCTCTTTTTGAACAGATGTAGGAGCAGTGATTCGTTCTCAGGTCTCGTTTATATAATGTATTCCTTCCGAAAGCCAAGTTCAGAGTTTTGTGTGTCACATAATCAAGTGCCGGCAGGGTGTGCTGTCCTGCCCTTAGGCCTGATGACCCCAGTGAGGTCACGCATGCTCTCAGAGCATGTTTCCCCAACTTTAAAATAAGGGGGTTCACCTAAATTCTCTCTAGTCGTAGCTAGCTCCGTGCGACCGCCGATGGATACCCAGGTGACCCCAGGCAATGTGAGAGTGCCAGATGTTGCATTGCTTTATTGTGTTAGCTCATTTGATCAGCACTTTCCCATTGAGCTGTCTGTGACGACGGAAATGTTCTCTGTCCGTGCAATCCCTGTCTGTAGCCACAGCCCAGGTGGTGACTGAGCCCCTGAAATGTGGCCACTGCTCCTGAACCCCCAAATCGTCAACTTTAATTTTAATTAACTTACATTTAAATTTAAGCAGACACATGTGGCTACTGTATTGGGCAACACAGCTCTTAGGTGTTCTCTGATATGAACGTTAGCCAGGGTGGATGCATGGAGTAGGTGTCTAACCTGAAGAATTCATCAAGAGAATGATGTCTAATTTGAATCTTCACCAGATACAATGTCTTAGGGTAATATGTTAGGAACCAAGTATTCTCTTTTGAATGGAAATGTTATCTACGGAGTGAGATTGGGATTTCCTTTTATTCATGACCCTAACCATATATGAGCCTCAAATGAAAATATATTTTCCAAGAGATGTTTGAGAATTGAACCATTTTCTCCTGTGTGCAATTCGGTGATCATGTAGACCTCAGCATGCGTTTCAGTGAATTACCAGTCAATGGTTTGAGTTTACAAAGTTTCTGGCCAATGAAGGAATATTGTGTATATTGCAAGTTCAAATGTGAGTGTTTGAATTATGCTGGTTTCTGAATATATCATGAAACAAAATCTTTTTCTCCTTCCCCTCCCCCCGCCCCGCAGAACCAAAGAAAATGGCTTTGACAGAGAGCCTTTGCACTCAGAACATCCAAGCAAGCGGCCATGCACCATTAGCCCCGGCCAGCGGTACAGTCCAAATAACGGCTTGTCCTACCAGCCCAATGGCCTGCCTCACCCCACCCCACCTCCACCTCAGCATTACCGTTTGGATGATATGGCCATTGCCCACCACTACAGGGACTCCTATCGACACCCCAGCCACAGGGACCTCAGGGACAGAAACAGACCTATGGGTAAGACGGAAAGATTTGTTCGCTTCTTAATGGGATTGGATGTATGTCTCTGACTTAACCCATGTTCTTTGAGGGATGATTTGGTGCCCTTTTTTTTGTTTTTTTAACTTGAAACTGCCAGTGAATAAATGCAAGATTTATAATTCCTGATATGGAATGAGTTTGGGTAAATATGTGTTCCATTCGCCTCCATTCATGTTTTGAATAAAACTATTGGAAATGAAGCATTTAGGAGACATTGCCTTCTAAAGAGCAAGTGAACAGCATGAAAAATGAGAGGGAAGATGAACAAGGTAGGTTTTGATGCATGATCAGTGGTTGAGGTGAAGGTATCAGAGCACTGTTCCTGGCGCTCCTGCTATTTTTTTTAAATCTTTATTGTTGAAAGTATTACTTATGTCCACCTTTTGGTTCCATTTAGCCATTCTAGCCTGCACCGCCCCCCGCACCAGGCCTTCACCACACTGTTGTCCGTGTCCATGGGTTATGCATATATGCGTAGAAATTCTTTGGTTGAATTCTTCTCACCCACCCACCCCCACCTTCTCTGTGAGATTTGACAGTCTGTTCCATGCTTCCATGTCTCTGGATCTATTTTGTTCATTAGTTTATTTTGTTCATTAGATTCCAGTGATTCTTAATTTTTGGTGAGTCAAGCTATTTATAAGCTGATGGAGAGCAATAGTCAACGCTCTCTTTTTCCATTTTCTGTGTCCAGGCCACCCACCAACAGCACTTCTCTTTACCTCCTAGCTAGTTGCTGACTAATTTTCCTGACACGGGTGATTTGTTGGGCAAGGATGCTGGAAACAGTAAGGGATAAAGTCCAAGTGGAAAACCAGAGCATAGACCTGAGGATGCAGATCTCTGGGAAGTGCAGCCGATTTCTCAATGCCTGAATAGTAGGGACAGTGATTTTAGCCACAGGCAGAGGTATCCTGGTGAGCAGCCGTGTAGGTAGATGTATAACTAGGTTACTAGCAAGTGGGGACTGCCATATATAAGGTCTGTTTGCCTTTCCACATACAACCCTCTAAATGTTTAGAAAGCAGAAAGGGAGAGATAGGGTAAGGTGAGGAGCAATTAAGGCCCAGGTTGTGAGATAGCAAAGTAGTAGTTCTGCTCCCCACAGTGGTCACTTCTGCACTCATAATGTGTCAGAGAAAGGGCTAAGCATATAATTTGTGTTTTCTTAATAGCCCATCTAATGCTCTCCCGGTACCATTTCTGAAGAACTCTCAAAAGTGGTTATGTTATTTCTCAGGCAGGGTTGATATTTTAACCCCAAATCAAAGGTGATAACAGCCAACCCTTCCAAGCAAAAGCCTGGCCATTTGTCTCTGACTCAATGCCCCAGACACCTGATTGTTCATTTTCAAGTAGAAGTGGAGTCACCAGGTCATTGTAAGAGCAACTCAAGATATCCCACTTGGTAGCTGCTAGGAAATGGCCTGTTTCTTCGGTAGCAAGTGCTATTTTATGAAATATTAGTTCTAGTGCACTATTAAGTAACCATCAAGGAAGTAATTACACTTATGTGCAATGATTATGTTTTCACCTAGTAATGTTAAAAATCCCTTTATGCATTACATCTGTTGGTTTTATGTAATTTTTTTTCAGACCATGTTTCTTACTTTAAAATTATAATAGCTTCTAAGATTAATAGTGCTAATCTCTATAAATATGTGCAACTATGTAATCATCCTTAAAATCTGGCAGAGTTTAGTATGTGTTAAAATAAAATTAAATCTTGGTGTCTGAGAGAGAAATTATGGTGTTACACCAGGCTGCCCTTTTGAAAATATAAAAATTGTCAAAGTCTGGCTGGGTGGCTCAGATGGTTGGAGCATCGTCCCATACACCAAAATGTTGTGACTTAGAGTCCCATTCAGGGCACAAACCTAGATTGCGGGTTTGGTCCCCAGTCGGGGTGCGTCTGGGAGGCAACCAATCGATGTTTCTCTCTCACATTGATGTCACCCTCCCTCCATCCCTCACCCCCTCTCTCCTTCTCTCCCTCTGTTCCTCTCTCCCTTCTTCTCTTTTCCTTTCTCTTCCTCTCTCTCTCAAATCAATAAATATATGTTCAGGTGAAGATAATGAAATTGTCATAAAGTTATACTTAGTCCGATATGATTTGTAAGTGCCTCTTATATGTAGGGACATATACTCACTAGAATCCTTTAATAAAATAATTCTATCGGCAGCATCAGTTATAAATAAACTTAGAGTTTTAGCCTGGTTAGCTAAAATCTTCTAAAGCGTAAGAATCAGTTAAGACTCAACTTTAGTGTCAAACTTCCCACAAATGAACATGTGCTCCTTAATGCCAATGAGCCACTGTCTCCTAGTACATCTCCCTGGTAGGCTATAAAATAAAGAGCTAATATGCTAATTAGACCAGACGACCAGTGGGTGGGGCTGTGGGCACTGAGCCCCTTGCACAAATTTTGTGCATTGGGCCTCTAGTTATGAATACAAATAAAAATTGTGTGCTGATGAGAATTTAAGTATCTGAAATAGAGAAATGAAATAATGTAAAGTTTTTACATTATTTAATTTGAGTTGTGTTATGTTTTCTTTTTAAAGACTTGACTCTAACAAATGACCTTCAGAGTTCAGAAGCAGCAAATGAGTCCTATATTTTCTCACCAAGTACTTGGGCTCAAACATGTTTCTAATGCACTTGCTTTTTTTAAAAAAATGATAGAAAGCTTAATACTGTTCCACAAATGTTGGAATCTCATTAGCCACAGACATCCTGTTTCGCTTTATTATTATTATTCCATGTGTTAGAACTTGTATCGTGACTTAGCTGAATTTTGAAACTTTCGAAATCTCTGGAGTTCCTGGTTTTTAAAGGTCTCCATTGTGAAAGTCAGTGCTACTTTTATACCTTCATCCTCTCTCGTTCTCTTCTGTGATGGTTCATTTCAGTGGCGATGCTTTTTCTTTGAAGCAGGCAACAAATAGTCAACAAAAATCACACATTTGCAAACATTTCAACTTAAAATAGTCACAACAAACAGCAACAGCTAAATGCTACTTTTCCCCCAACATGTTTGCAATTCTACAGTTTTACCAATAGGTGGCATTGGCAATTTTAACTCTTAAAATATATCTCGGATTATGTTCTCATTGGGCAGAAATGATGCAGTGTTTTATATTTACCTTTGTAGTTAGTCTGAGAAAAAGTTGCCATACATTTGTTCATTGTTCATGGTTGATATTCACTCATATTTTATGGTTGGCTGAAAACAGGCATGTGACTCTTCATCTTTATTTTTCCAAATCAGATAGAAGGGGGGATTTTTAGCCTCCCAGATTTCACAGAAGTGTAATGCAGTGAGTGATGCAGTGTCTCATAGCTCTGTTGTGATTGCACCCTTACATGGTACCCTCAGAGGAAGACCCTAGGTGGCAAGAAGCCCAATTCATGCCAGTCTTAATTTGCTACTCAGAGTTTCTAAAGCAAAAAGAATAGTTTCAGTTGTTTAAACTGGAAATTGCCATAGCCTGGTGCCTTTCCTTTACAGTGGAACCAAAGGTGTTTTATGCATAATAACTTTGCAGGAAGAGCAACCCCTTTCCAGGCCGGTCAGAGCCTCCCACTCTATTCTTTTTTATATAGTTCACTGAGGTTTTTATGCAGTGCAAATAAAAGGTTTTATTGTGTTATCCAGTTTAACTGTGTCAGTTTCTTCATGTTTTAACAATTTGTTTTGGTAATCATTCAATTTTTTAAATGTAAGTGTCGTTGGTGTACAATCTTATATTGGTTATATTAGTTTCAGGTGCACAATATAGTGACCCGGCACTTTTATACCTTACAAGTGACCACCCCTCTAATTCTAGTAATTATCTGTCGGTATACAAACTATTCACAGTGCTATTGACAATATTCCCCTTCAACATTCCCCTCCTCCCCCTCCCCTCTGCTAACCATCATTTGGTCTCTATTCCTGTGAGTTTGTTTTTGTTTTGTTTTGTTTTAAGTTCCACACATAAACAAAACCTTATGGGGTTTGTCTTTCTCTGTCTAACTTATTTTACTTAGCATAATGCCTTCTAGATCAGGGATGGGGGACGTCCAACCCAAGGGCGCTATAAGGCCTGAGAAATCATTTGGTCTGGCCCTGCCAAGGCATTAGGGGTGAATTAATTAAGTGTTAGACCAAATAGAGCAGGTGAATTTTTAAGTTGACAATTCTGTATGGCCCTCGAATGGTGCTCTAAATACCCAAATGGCCCTTGGCAGAGACAAGGTTCCCCACCCCTGCAGATTCATCCATGTTGTTGCAAATGGCAAGATTTAATTATTTTTTATTGCTGCATAATATGGCATATTTACTGTTGTGTGTGTGTGTGTGTGTGTGTGTGTGCGTGTATCACATCTTTATTCATCTATCAATGGACACGTAGGTTGCTTTATATTTTCGCTATTGTTGAGACACATTTATTTTCTATTTCGATGAGCATCTTTGAGAACTGCTCATGTGTTGTGCTATTGTTACTCACTTGGTGAGCATTTATGTGTTCCTTTTTTTTTATTTTTTATTTTTTATTTTTCGCTAAAAGTATTACAAAGGGTATTACATAAGTGTCCTTTTTTCCCCCCCACCCTTGACAGGTCCCTGCCCTCCCTTACCCCCCAGTGTCTTATGTCCATTAGTTATGGTTATATGGATGCATACAAGTCCTTCGGTTGATCTCTTACTCCCCTCCCTCCTGTCCCCCAACCCTCCCTGGCCTTCCCACTGCAGTCCGTCAAACAGTTTGAGGCAGCTCTGCCACTGTATTTATTATTGTTCAAAAGTTTGTAATGGTCTTAATTATCCATGAAAGAGTGCGATCATGTGGTATTTTTCCTTCATTGACTGACTTGTTTCACTTAGCATAATGCTCTCCAGTTCCATCCATGCTGTTGCAAATGGTAAGAGTTCCTTCTTTTTAACAGCAGCATAGTATTCCATCGTGTAGATGTACCACAGTTTTCTAATCCATTCATCTATTGATGGGCACTTAGGCTGTTTCCAGATCTTAGCTATGGTGAATTGTGCTGCTATGAACATCTGGGTGCATATATCCTTTCTGATTGGTGTTTCTGGTTTCTTGGGATATATTCCTAGAAGTGGGATCACAGGGTCAAATGGGAGTTCCATTTCCAATTTTTTGAGGAACCTCCATACTGCCTTCCATAGTGGCTGCACCAGTCTGCATTCCCACCAGCAGTGCACAAGTGTTCCTTTTTCTCCACATCCTCTCCAGCACTTGTCGTTTGTTGATTTGTTGATGATGGCCATTCTGACAGGTGTGAGATGGTACCTCATTGTTGTTTTGATTTGCATCTCTCGGATGATTAGTGACTTTGAGCATGTTTTCATATGTCTCTTGGCTTTCTGAATGTCCTCTTTTGAAAGGTGTCTATTTAGATCCTTTGCCCATTTTTTGATTGGATTGTTTATCTTCTTTTTGTTAAGTTGTATGAGTTCCCTATAAATTTTGGAGATTAAGCCCTTATCAGATATGACGTTGGCAAATATGTTTTCCCACGAGGTGGGTTTTCTTGTTGTTTTTTTTGATGGTTTCTTTTGCTGTGCAGAAGCTTTTTATTTTGATGTAGTCCCATTTGTTCATTTTCTCTTTAGTTTCAACTGCCCTAGGAGCTGTATCAGTGAAGAAATTGTTTGGCATAAGTCTGAGATTTTGTTGCCTTTTGTATTCTTCTAGAATTTTTTATGGGTTTCTGTCGGACATTTAAGTCCTTTATCCATTTTGGAG